AGATATTCTAATTTATTTTGGCGCCACCTTAAATCTAAGACTTCTTTTACTTCAAACTCTTCATTATTGTCTACTTCTATAGAAAGAGGTGGAGCTTGTCATCTTCTTGGTATGTCCAGTATCTTGTATGGTTTAAGAAGAGACACATAGAATACTGGATGGATTTTCATTGACTCCGATAGATATAAACGATATGCAATTAGATTGATTTGTGAAGAAATAGCAAATGGTTCCAGCCTTCGATAGTCCAACTTGTCACAAGGACGAGTGGTCTTGATATTACAATGAAGTAGCCATACCTTATCACCCAAGTGGAATGGTGGTTGTTCCTTTCGATAGACATCTGCATTGACCTTTTGTTGTTCTTGAGCTTCTTTTGACTGCACCTTTATCGTTGCATGTAGCTCTGACAAATGAATCACCAAATCTTTCGCAGTAAGATTATCAACTTTTGAAAAGTCAAAAGTATTAAGTCGTAGGTGATAACCATAATTAGTAAAAAAAAGTGTTTGTTTTGTAGAAGAATGTATCGTATTATTCTAAGTAAATTCTACCAATGGCAAAAGAATTGTCCAATCATCTTGTTGGTAGTTGATGGTACATCTTAAATATTGCTCCAAAACTTAAATAATACGCTCCGTTTGTCCATCAGTTTGAGGATGGAATATTGAAGATAGTTTTATATCCACTTTTAGAATCTTGAAAAGAATCCGCCAAAATCTTGATACAAATTGAATTCCCCTATCTGATATAATATCCTTGGATAATCCATGATAGCGATAGATATTGTCAAGAAAGAGCTTAGCTATTTCTTCACTTGTGATAGATTTTGTACATGGTACAAAATGTGCCATCTTGGTAAAATGATCTACTATCACGAATATAGAGTCACAAGAACCTGCGATTGGAAGATTCGTGATGAAGTCCATAGAAACAGAAGACCATGGTTGTTCTGGAATGGATAATGGCTGAAGAAGTCCAACCGGTCGATGACGAGGAGCTTTTGATTTTGAGCAAACATCACATGATTGTACAAAATCTTTGACTGCCTTCTACATTTGAGGCCACCAAAAATCCATAGATATCAGCTCAAAAGTCTTATTGTATCCAAAATGTCTTGTTGTTGGAAAGTCGTGATGAACTTGAAGAATACGTAAACGTGCTTCACCTTTTAGAACATATAGATATCCTTCAAAATAGAGTAGGTTGTTCTTGAACTCGAATTTAGAGGGATCATGAGATTTAGAAGAATTATTCTTGATATCATGAACATGAGGGTCTGAAAACATACTTAACTAGACTTTCTTGAGAAAAGTTAAATCAACAGTCAATGTTGATTTTATTACTTAAAGATGAAATTGCTCCGGCTTGAAGAGAACTATTCTTTGTTGCTCAAAAGCTGCATCTCTTTCTTTTGGTACAAGATAAGAACGTCTAGGCAAAGCATCGAATAAACCTTGTTATTTTTCTAGCCGATAAGTAATGATGAACTCAAATCTTGACAAAGACATGCTCCAATGAGCTTGACGATGATTTAATACGTGTGTTGATATGAAATACTTGAGGTTCTTGTGATCCATATACACTGTGACTGGATTGGAAGTGCCTTCTAGATAATGACGCCATTCTTGAAAAGAATCCACGATTGCAAGAAGTTTTTTGTCATGGATCTCATAATTGATTTCTGTTGTTAAGAATTTTCTTGAATGAAAGGCTACTAGATGAAGTTTGTCATCTATTCCAATTTGTGACAAAATCGTACCAAGAGCAAAGTTTGATGCATCTGTTTCCACAAAGAACACTTTAGAAAAATCAACATGATATAAGATTGGTGCAAAGACAAACGTTGTCTTCAAAGATTCAAAAACAACTTCCACTTCTTGATTTCATTGGAGATTGTCTTTACAAGTCAAACGTGTAAGTGGACTTGCAACTCGATAGAAATCTTTGATGAAGATCCGATAGTAGTTGGCAAATTTCAAAAAGCATTGAACATCTCTTACCGTTTTTGGGATCCACCAATCTATAATAGTTTGAACTTTCTTAGGATCCATCATAAGTCCATCATTTGAAATGATGTAACCTAAGAAATCTACTTGAGTAGTGTGGAATACACACTTTTCTATCTTGGCATAGAGTCTCGCATCTCTTAATTTTGGTAACACATGACGAACATGAAGTTCATATTCTTCTGAATTCTTAGAATAGATCAAGATGTCGTCTTGATAACAGACCACAAAATCATCCAAAAACTCTCGAAAAATATCATTCATTAGATGTTGAAAAGTTGCTGGTGTATTTGTAAGTCCAAAAGACATGACGTTGTATTCAAAATATCTATACCTAGTTTGAAACGTTGTCGTGTTGTAACACGAGTATGCCATAAAAATATAAAGAAAGGAGACTTTTATTAAGGTTCAGTCACCCTGTTACAGTCAGTCGAGGCATACTGAAATGCTCCATTCGATTCCAATAACGGGAGTCAGCAGGAAGGGAATGG